AATTGGCAAGCATCTGTCCGTATTTCTCAGGCCTCCATCTTATGACCCCTCATTCTTTCCTCAAAGTCCTGCCAGAGAGTTAGCACCCTTGACTTTCTTCTCTCAGAGATAACAGTATAATGTGGCCTTTTACACTTCAAGACTGGAGGCAACACTCTCAGCTTGTCGATCATGCGGCATCTGGGCCCGCGCATTCATATTCGTATGCTACAACATTTACAACAGTTCCCCAGACGCCATGCAGTCCTATTACATCCCTTTACAATCTTATGTTGGTCACAAGGATTCTTGCCACAGCTGTGGAAAACCGCCATTTTGTTTTCTCCTCTTCCGCAAACCAGGCACTACGGGACATGATACCTCCCACTATCGTCCCCATTGCTCTTACCAGCAGTTTGCAAAGTAATGGAACGTCTAGTAAATAGACGTTTAGTGTGGTATTTAGAGACACACACAGTCTCTCCACTTCGTCAATAACTTTCGTATGGACGTTCTACATAGACCCCTTACTGCCTTGATACGTATGTTTTCGTAATGCCTTACGCGAATTAACACTCAGTTATTGCCATATTTTTTGGCCCTTGAGAAGGCATCTGACACACCTTGGAGGTATAAATTTTATTTAGCCCAAGCCCACTCCCTTAGCCTCGAGGCAATCTACCATCCTTCCTTAAGACTTTTTAACTGAAAGCCAATTCGGTTCGGGTTAATAATGTGCTCTTCTCCGGACTGTAGTCCAAGCTGAAGGGTGTCCCCCAGGGATGTGTTCGTGAGCACAACACATTTACTACCTGCTATAATGATATGGCCTCTATCTTCCATCAAATATTTGGTCATCACTCTATGTTGAGGACTTCGCAATTGCCTGTGCAGGGCGCTGACCTGTCACCTCCTTACAGTTTTTTTCTCTCCAGCATGCAGTCGACCGTGTTTCCAATTGCCACCACACATGGGTTTAAATTTTCAAGCACTAAAACCCATCCAAATCACACATTCACTGTAACGCTCCTGACATCTCTGATCATCCTTTGTACCTCTATGGCTCACGTATCCCCTGAACGTGATACAGTCAAGTTTCTGGCGCTCCTCTTTGATCGAAGTTATCCTGGAAACCTCACATTACCTCTCTGAAGCAACTTGTCACAGCCGGCTGAACCTTCTTAAAACCCTTGCTCATCTTTCGTGGGAGCTGATCGTCGAACCCTCCTTCACCTACATTCCACCCCCTTTTCTTATTTTTTATCGGAAACTTGATTATGGTGACCAGATCTATTCAGCGCGGCATCTCCTGCTACTCTCTCTAGCCTTAACCCCATTTCATCACAAGTGTACTTTACTGCCTTTGTGCTTTTGCGGCCTTCCCCTGTCGAAATGCTCTATGCAGAAGCGAACGTTCCATCCTTTCCGATAGCCGTGAATGCCCATTGCCTGCGCTACTATGTACGCCTCTCAAAATTCCCTGCAATCCGTCCATTTATATAATGGTACACTGGATATTAGTAGACATTCTTTATTTGTTTCGCCGCCCCTGCTACTCCGTCCCTTCTCTCTTCGCCGTCATCGCTCTTTGAGTCTCTCTTCAGACTACCACCTTTTCTATGTACTATGTAGCATCTCACTTTTCCCCTACCCCCCCTGGGGAGGTCCCAGCTGTTCGAGTCTGTTCTTTCATTTTCTCCCTCCCTTCTCGAAAGCCCAACTGTCTACGTCGATCCCTCTCTTATTCTTGACCACTATTCACTCTCATTCTCCATGCCATTGCGGTGTACACAGATGCTCTAAGTCTTCTGACGCGTAGGATTTCGCAGCAGTGTTTTCCCGGACAGCGTCGGGACATGGCCTTTACTATCTTCAGATAGTAATTTTTACTGCTGAATTATATGCCATCCTACAGCACTTTATCCGTATGCATCTATGCCTGTGTCATCGATTTGTGGTTGTCCTCATACTCCCTTAGTGCTTTTACTGGCTATACAAAATTTGATACACCTCACCCTTAGTCCTCCGTATCCAACATTGGCTACGCCGCATCTTTTACTAACCATATAGATATTGTTTTTTGTTGGGTCCTGGTCATGTTGACGTACAGGGCAATGAACAGGCAACACTGCTGCGCGGTCCAGCAGACATACCTACCATTTTCTTACAGAGGTATCATGTAGGGACTTATTTTTGGCTGTAATATCTTCCACCTTCCCACCCGTTGCAACAACGATGGTCCTCAAATGCTCGGCAATCAAACTTCAGGTCTATTAAACCGAGTATAAGGTTACTGGCCGACTTCTTATCACCAGTGTGTCGATTGGAATACTACTCTCTTTCCCGTCTCGCATTGGGCCATACTCGTCTACTCCAAGGATATCTCATTGAGAGGCGTCCTTGCTCCTCTCTGTAGAATGCCAAGCTCCATTATCAGTCCCACATTCTGTGGACTGCCACTTTATCAACGAAAGGCACGCAGAATTTACCTCTGCGTCGTCCTGTCGCACCCCGCTGCTCTCTCTTTAACCATCCCCTTCTCGCTGATGGCCCCACCATTTTCATCCGACTCTCTATTTGACTTTTTGACAACCGACTTGACTTATTTCACAAATCCCTGATACTTTCAGCGATTCGACCTTTCTACTTGTATCACTTGCTACCCTCTATCTACCCGCCCCGGACTATCCCCCCTGCCCCGGCTGTTTTCTTTAATCCTCGATCATCCCCCTCCCTCCTGCCATCTCAATTCCCTTGCTTCCTTCCCTACCACTGCACGCTGTATAGCCCTTGTGGCTTAGCGCTTTCTTTTGATTATAAAAATAATATTGACCTGTCGTGTCTATCAGCGAGTAAGCATAATATATCTCCGATTCGTCACCTTCTCTAACACCATACTTTATCTTACCCTCCTCGCAGACAGCCCCACCATTGACACAGACCCCCCCTCTTTGACAGCAACATATTACAATCCTTTGATATACTTCCATTAGCACTCCCCACCGCGCCCATTACAAACTGCTAACTCCGTTATACTCTCAACCCCTCACTATCTCAGATCAATCACGTTCAACTGTTAGCACACCTTATCGCTGCATGCACTACATGATCCTTGTGGGTTACCACATTAGTTTTGATGTATAATAAGTGTACATGCAAACTCCAAAATGGTAAAATAAAGAAACCCAGTGAAACAGCAGATGCGTCACATATAATGTAAGAAGAACCAAGTATTAACATCTATGGGTCTCCACATTATTCAACTTTTACCAAGTCCTTCACAAAGAGAACTTGACAAATACTTCAGAATAGTGCAGGCTCAAGCCTATGCTGTGATGGATATGTGTCCGATTGGAATTCCAGCAGCAACAGCCTGGCTGACCATGCAATTCCCAAATATGCTTGGCCCAGGCTCGGGATAGAACTCACTGAAACTTACAAAGGATAAATGGTATAGAAAAGCTGAGTAACTTGGAGCTTGAACATCACAACAAGCTTGTGTGAAATCAGAAAAACCATTTAGCCCGACTTAGTCCGGAGGTGGAAAGTACAG